TTTTTATTACAAATTATTTTTAAAAAATCTATAAATAAAAAAAAATTTCACAAATATTTAGTCACATTAAAATCATGACACTTCTCATCTCTAAACTACATGTCCTTGACCGTGACCATCAATGATTTATTTATAGAGGCACCAGCTACGTGTAGCTTTACTTTAAAAAAACAACAGACCCGTAAAGGTTCGTTTTGTTTGCTCGTTTTCATGTTGAAAAATAATCAACGAAAACACAGTTCAATGTGTCACTGGGCATTGAGACTACAAATTTTAATTTGTGTCAGAATCTGACAACCATACTTCGGAGCATCACTACAACCACACACTGGCCTTTAGCATCACAGTAGAAATTCACAAACAACATTCATTTGACCTGACTTTTAAAACCTGACTTCTAAGAAAATCGCTATAAAACTTTGAAACATGATGGTGCACATATATTTTCTGTTCACATATAAAGCTCTCTTCATACGCACATGTACTATGAAAAGGAAGACTTGATTTTCACAAATACAATACAAGCATTAAAATTAGGCTAAAAATGAAAAAAAAATCAAATAATACCAGGCAGAGACAGTGTGTGGATGACCACATTCACTCATTCAAACATTTCTGCATTTGCCAACTTTCCAAATTAAAAATACAGTGAGTCAAGTGAAATCTGCGGGGTGCAGAGATCTTTTCTTTGTGTAGGAATTTCCCTATAATATACGTGTTTGAAACAGAAAGAGTGTACATGATGTAGAAGATAAAATGCAGGACCTGAAACTCTATTTCCTTTTTTTTATTTTTTATAGTAGAAGGTTTTACGGCGCTCGCAACTGCATATAAAGTCATATGAGCGCCAAGGGGTGGGTGTCAACAGAGAAGTCTTTACAGGGAATCAGGTTTACTCTGCTCACCTCTCTAGCTTCAACAGCACAAGGTCTGCTTCAACTATCAAGGCACCCCGGAAATAGCAGGTCACAAGAGAGTGACAAACATACAGAAAAAGTAGAGGAAAATGACAATAGTAAGGATTAAGAAAGAAAAAACAGCAGTTCCCTGTTGTCGATCAGGC